CTTTAGGTACAAGATCTCATTTGCCTTTTATATTGAGTGCCTGCCGGTATGGTGACACATCACACACGGCTGGGCAACTGAATTCGGTTTCCAGGCACCCATGGTAAGCCAAAGGGTCTATGGGGTTGGCTTCTTCCGCCTTCATAACATGTGGGAATGGTTTCAAACTGCAGCGCCCTCCTTTCCCATAGCAAGCAAGGCCGGTTGGGTTTACCATTTAAAAGGAGGGGCTGCGGTTTTGGGGTGGATGTGCATCACACCCCTCCCCCCACAATGTGGCTATTCTCCGGGATGATCCCTTTTAGCCAAGCGCAAAAGACCAGCATGAACGGGGCCCTTTTACAGTTCCCTTACAAAAATTCCCCTATTTCAACTAGGTGACCATGGATGATTTCACTCTCCTGAGGCTGACACAGAAAGATAAAGTCCTCGGGATGATGTCCCTCTGGGTTCCTGACCAGGACGTCGGTTATTCCTTCCCCTGAGAATCCACCCGTAAGATTGGAGACTGGCCACTTCCCCGGGCTTTGGGAGATGAGTCAGAGCTGCGGGACACCAGTGTGGTGCTGAGGTGGGCCAGCTACTGCTCTCATTTACCCGGGTGCAGGGCAGGAGTAACTCTACTGAATTCAATGGGGTTTCTCCTGATTTTTCTGTGGCATATTCCAGCTGCTGGGAGTGGTTCCAGCAGGACTTCCCATGCCCAGGAAAGACAGAGCCTGCTCCCTTCCCCCACCTCGAGGAGCTGCAATCAGCTGTTTGCAATGAACCAGAAGCTTCCTCTCTCATGCGAAGGCTGCAGTGTCTGGAGCTGGGCGGGGGCACGGAGGTGTTTCTGACATGCAAGGCTCCACTTTCCCTCCACGTTCTTCATTGCTGTGTAAGTGGGGATGGACTGAGCTCCCCTCTGACATGGAGAGATGAGCTGGGAGAACAGACTCCAGGAAAAGACTCCGTTTGCCTAAGCACCCTACTGTGAACTGGGAACTGCTTTGCCAAAGTGATCCCTTTTGGCGGGTGTTGGGTTACAAATCACTCTAGTAGGGAGTGCAGGGGAATGGCATGTTGTCACCCTGACTGTGTGAGGAAAGGGCAGCAGAACTGTGCTTACCTGCCCCGACAGTCGCTCACTCACTAAGCAGGGGGGTGGGGATGACAAATCCCCATGACAGTGAGAGAGAGAAAGAGAGGGTGGGGACAGGTGATCGCCATATTTGGGGTCGGGAAGGAATTTTCCTCCAGGGTAGATTGGCAGAGGCCCTGGAGGTTTTTCGCCTTCCTCCGCAGCATGGGGCAGGGGTCGCTAGCTGGAGGATTCCCTGCTACTTGAAGTCTTTAAATCATTATTTGGGGACTTCAACAGCTGAGTCAAGGGAGAGAATTATTCCAGGAGTGGGTGGGTCAGCTTTTGTGGCCTGCATCATGCAGGAGGTCAGACTAGATGATCATAATGGTCCCTTCTGACCTTAAAGTCTATGAGTCATGAGGTGTCTGTACCCGGGGGTGTGGGCTCTCCCTAAAGAGTCCCAGATGCCATTTGACCCTCTCCCTCCTCACTGTGTAAAGGCAGAGCTGATCAGACACACTGGAGAGTCCTTGTTTTGTTAAGTGAGCGCTAGAGCTGAAATCACTGAGAACCAGGTCTAGCCGCTGAGCCTTAGGACACATCTACACTTAACATGCTGCATCGGCACAGCTGCACCAAGGCAATTGTGCCGCTGTGGTGCTTTAATGGAGACGCTCTAAGCTGACAGGAGAGAGCTTCTCCCATCAGTGTAGTTAATCCACCTCCCTGAGCGGCGGTAGCTGTGTCGATGGGAGAAGCTCTCCTGCCAACACAGTAGTGTCTACACAGGGGGTCAGGTTGGTATAACTACCGTGGAAGTAGAGAAAGAACTGACAGGGATTTGAAGGGGATTTCATATTTAAACAGTCCCCTTGTGAGAGCAAGAGTCAGACTAGCTGTTACCCTAATAATGCGAGATTTGTAGAAGTGAGGATTGTGTGAGGTGAGTGGGAAAGAGCTGTATGAGAAGCTGTTGAGACCTTTGGTTAGATAAGTATGGAATGTAGACCATAGTCTAAATTGTTGAGGAAAATAAGATATCAGGATGACATATGTATAAACAAAATACAGCTGTCACCCTTTGATACATACAATAATGGGTATAAATGCTTGCTGTAATTGTTTACCTCGTGAGAGACCTGTTCTGCTATCTCCCGCCACATAATTGCTAGAGAAAATAAAGTATCTGACTTGCTGCACCCAATCTGAGAGTGAGAACTCTGTTTTTCTCCGACACTACGTCGCACAGGGGGCGGGGGTGTGTGGATATTTCTTCCCTCTGAGCAACATAATTATACCAATGGAGGTCTGTAGGTCAGACCAGACCTCAGTTGTACACATGGTGGTGGCAGCAGCAGCCGAGGCATTTCTCAATGCCATCTACCCTCCAGCGGGCGTTGAACTCACATGAACGCTCTAAACTCTGGACCTTCGCCGACCAAAGACAGCAACTGTGAATGGGGTGCAGGGGAGGGAAAGGGTAAAGGCAGGTTAAAGGAGACTTTTTTGGACTTTCACACTGCAAGGGGAGAAACTGAGGCAAAAGACACTGTCCAATAGATTCTAGGGAAGGTGTTTGCTCATGGCTAAGGCTACAATTATGTCACGGACATGAGGCCTTTCCCCTCCAATTAGCTCTGCCCCCCAATAATTCCCACCCTAGAACTGACCAGGGAGCGCCGTAGCCTGATAGGGGAGGCAGGCAACAGGGCACCCCTCAGGACGCTTGCACTGGGCCCTAGCTGGCAAGACCCCGATGCCCGCGCCCGTCTCTTCCCCAAGGGACTTGGCTGCGTTGCTTATCTTCTTGACGCTGTGGAAGGGGAGGACTTTGAAGGGGGGCAGTGGTGGTGTGGGATTCCAGAGCTCCAACATCAGTGGTTGCTGAGCTGAACTTGCCTCCTCATTTTGTCAGAATATTTTTAGTGAAAGTCAGGACAAGCGACAGGCTTCTGTGAATTGTTGTTTATTGCCTGCGACCTGGCCGTGAATTTTATTAAAAATATCTTAGCCTTACTCACGGTCACAAGCTTTCAAATTGTGGTTGTGGTGTTTCCCAGATTACTGCCAGGTTCCTTTCCCATTTTTATTAAAAGTTGTCTTTGTTATACACAGACTCAGTGCTTGTGAGAGGGGATCTATTGCCTCTTAGAGGCGCCTGGGGTGGTCTGAAGTTTTCCCAGATTACTGGGTGTGGGGGTGACAGGTTCAGTCACAGAGACCACTTGGGATTGTCACCTGATGTGCTGAAATTACCTCTGGGCGTGTTGTCCCTGCCAGCTTGGGACTCCAGATCCCTGCCTTTTTGAGCCAGACACGCTGGCCTGCTGCAACACAGAAACAGGGTCTGGGCCATGCCCCCATAGCTGCCGACTTTAACTAAAAACAGCTCAGCAGGTTATCTGTCTCCAGCTCCCAGACACCCAGCTCCCAATGGAATCCAAGCCCCAAATACATCCGTTTTATTTTGTATAAAGCTTATACAGGGTAAATTCGTAAACTGTTCACCCTCCGTATCACTGAAACAGAGATATGCACAGCTGTTTGCTCCCCGAGTTATTAATCACTTACTCTGGGTTTTATAATTAATAAAATCACTTTTGTTTATTAATAAGAGTAGGATTTCAGTGGTTTCAAGTAATAACAGCCAGAACAAAGTAAGTCACAAAGCAAAATAAAACAAAACATGCAAGTCTAAGCCTGATTACAGGTAATATCTCACCCTCAAAGATGTTCCAATAAGCTTCTTTCACAGACTAGACTCCTTCCTAGTCTGGGCCCAATCCTTTCCACTGGTACGGTCTTTGTTAGATCTAGCAGACATCTCAGATGGTAAGCAGGGTTTTTCTCATGACTGGCAGCCCTTTGTCCTGCTCCACCCCCTTTTATAGCTTTGACACAAGTTGGGAATCTTTTGTCTCTCTGGGTCCCCACCCCTCCTTCTAAATGGAAAAGTACCAGATTTAAGATGGATTTCATTATCAGGGGGCATGGTCACATGTCACTCTAAGACCCCCAGTCTCCATTCCCCATGGGCTGGCCCACACGTACACAGGGAGGCTTTCAAGTAACTAAGACGATTTACAACTGATTGTTTCTGGAGCATCCTTAATGGCCTCCACTTAATATGTTTACATCAGTGATACAAGTTTATATCTTATTCTCCTAACTCCAGATATAGAAATAATACATGCGAACAAACAGGATGAACACACTTAGTAGATTACAAGCTTTCTAAAGACCCCATACAAGGGCTATTTAGAGTAAAGCATATTCCAGTTGTCTCATATTCATAAGCGTATTTCCATAAAGCATATGGAGTGCAACATCACTAATTTGTATTGGAACCCCTACGTATTGAACCCGGCCCTGGTTGATGCCGACTCCACCTGGCAGAAGGGTTACACCTGGCAAGAAAAGCAGAAAAATGACAATAGGTTGCAAGGCCACTGAGAGTCTAATGTGCAAACCGGTGGGTTGCCTCTGGGAGGTGACACACAAAGCCCCTGGAGCCTGACCCATAGGGATAATGGAGCCAAGGGAAATTCTTCACAGTGCTGACTGCTCATTGGGGATGATCCGTCTGCACTGACAAGGTTTCAATCCCAGGGGACAATCTGATCTATTCAGATCATTACACTGCAAGAGCCAATGCCTGCCTAGCCCACAGTGAGTGACCCCTGGAGCTCCCAGGAGAGCCAAGGGAAGGGAACGCGGAGGTGCCAGGACAGGCCATTCTGTTCTGGTGCCTAAGACATCTAGGGTACTCCTGGATAGTGACCGACTCTCACTAACACTTGCAGTGCCGTTCCCACCTGGCTCATAACCAATCCTGCATCATTCGGGGGAAAATCACCTTTACAGCAGTGATGAGACCCAGCTAGAGATGCCTGTTTCACAGGCTGGTATTGGAACAGAGCAGAGGACCTCTTACAGTCTTGGTGCTGGTGTTGGGGACAGCAGACATGGATAGATCGGATGTCTGAGATTTTGTACAGGACATTTGGAATCCCTTGATCCATCTCCTGTACTCCTCTCGCACCTGGAGAGTGAGGGACAGGGTCACTGCACTATGTAACTAATGCTGAGAAGATCAGAGATGGCCACCGCGAGGCCGGTGAAGGTGCTGGGTGGGCGCTGACGGGCTGTGGGCATTACCTGGCGATTGAGGAGACAGTGCACCAGGAAGATGAAGGCTCCCTGCAGGCTGTTGATGATGGTGAAAAAATACGCCATGACCGTGGCTGCTGGGCCGACTTGGAGGAGACCAAGGCTCCATGTGCAGCCCAGAATGAAGAGCTGGGCGATGGCTTTAAAGGTCAGTAACCTGGATAAAGGCAGATGGAGAGATCCCGTTACGATAACCCTATGGAGAGCGATTGGGACAAGAGGATCTGAGCAAAGTGGGGTGCAGCTACCGGCCCTGGCTTTCCTGTGTGGGACAGGGTTACTGTCAATGCAAACACACTGGGAATTCATTCCTATGGATCCTAGATATGTTGTTCCCCTCCTGCAATCCCTCACACCCTCCCAGTGCCAAGGACCTTCCAAACCAAGGCATCTGACCCTCCAGGATTGTTTTGTTGCCATCTCACCTGTGGTCTCTGAGGGTGGACACACCTGCATTGAGGGAAGAGAGTCTGTTTCTCAGGATCCACAGGGTCAGGGCAAAGAACATTATATTTATCTGTGGGATGAGTGGGAAATATTTCCTGTAAAACATCCCATCCGGGGCCGGTGACTCCAGCTGAGGCAGAGAACGATCCCAGGGGACCGATCCGAACACTGCAGAACCGGGGACTGCTCATTTCTGGTGGGAATCATCCCCTCTCCTGTAATATCCTCTGGCAGCGCTCGGTCCCTCCCCATGCATGGAGCTGACAGCACAGCCAGGGCTGAGATGGATCAATGGGATCACAGAGCCCAGATGCTGCTCACAGTTAAACATGGAGCCTCTCCAGTGGAGTCAGTAGTCATCTGGGGTTTACACTGGTGTAACTGGGAGCAGGATCTGGCTCAGAGATTCCAGATCCTGCCTCTAGAATACTTCCTGCCACTTTCAGGCTGTAACAAATTCCACCCTCCCCCACCCCAACTACCCCAGGGGGTAGGGAGGAATATGTATGGACATTTGTTCCCCTCCTACAAAACCACTGCAGAGTGTAGCCCTCTCCCTTCCTCGTTCCTTGGGTCATTAACTAGACTAGACCAAACTCTTGCTGTCTTCACTTGGCAAAACTCCTACTGACGTCCATGGGAGCTGTGCCCGAGTAAAGGCTGTAGGCCTGGGGATACAGCACAGGGACTAATCCCCGGACTGACCACAGCAGATGAGCCAGGTGGGACCTAACTGGGTCTTTCCTTGTGTTTTATGGGCCACATTCTCCTCCCTGCTTCACTGAAATCAATGGGGTCACAGAGGTGAGGGGAGAATGGGGCCCTGTGGTTCTGGGAGGTACCCACCAGGATTATGGCAGAGACTGGACCCAGGAAGCTCCAATTAAATCCTCTCTCCGGGCTGAGCCAGCAGCTAGAGGGAGGGAGGAAGAAGAAGGTGACATTAATGGGATTACTGCCCTTTTTCAGCCCCGGGGGCAGAGAGGGGGGGTCACAGGGCAGCTGGCTCTCAAAAGCGAGATGGATCTCAGCCTGCCTGTGACATGGCCAACTCTCTTGCGGGCAGCAGGCAAACAGCCCTCCCCATGTACCTCAGCATCTCCTGCTTCCAACCACCACTTCCTCTTCCACCTCCTCAAATGACCCTTTCTGGTGGATGGGCGCAGTATTGCTGGAGGGCCAGACATGCAGCGGATGGACATTGGCCTCGCTGCACTGAAGGAAGTGGAGCTGCCCTGATTTACACCAGCTGAGGATCTAGCCTGGGGTGTCTAGAACACGCCACACCCTGTTTTAGTGAGTCGCTCACTTTAGAGAGGGGATCCTCAGGGATTTGCACACGGGAAGAAGGTGCATTTGTTTCCTACCCACCAGTGCCACAAACCGAGCCTGGGAGCTGGGAGTCAAGCTGGGATCTTTCTGGCTTGTTCTTGCACATCATCAGTGGGGTGAGGAGTGCAGATGTCTGACAGGTGGGCAACTCAACTACAGCGCTCGGGGCAGCTTAGTGTCCCTGGGGATGGGAAGGGTCCCAGGGGGACATTCAGCTCCCAGGCAGGGTGAGCCGGGAAATCTTGGTTCAAGTCAGACCTGGGGTGAGCCGGACAAGCGCATGGAAGCCACATCCCAGCTCCCCTTCGGGATGGGTGCTGCACGTACTGTTTGGAAGTTTCGTAGCCTTCAGGATTCACCGCTGCAGAAATAGCCACCACCAGGGCTGGGAATCCGTAGCCGAACGGGTACATGAATCTCTTCTTGAACCGGCTGGCGCTGGTGTAATTCACGACCTGCAGGTTCCTGACGGTGAGGAAGAGGTGCAGCCCCTCCAGCAACATCCAGGAGAAGCAGGCCAGGAAGAGGTAGTGTAGGAGGCCAGCAATGACAGCACACGCCACCTGGGGGAGACAGAGAGCCCAGGGACATTGCGGTGGAGAAGGGAAATGCTGAGTATGGGGGAGACCTGCCAGGGGGGGGAGGGGGGGGCACAGGTCACACCGGGATTCTTGTTAGCAGAGGTCTCCAGTTTTAGCGCTCCGTGACCCAGGGACGGCAGGTTCCTCGGTCTATGGAGGGTCCTGCGGGTGCACATTGCTGATGCAGGAAGGGAGCAGAGATTAGTGGTTACAGCAGGGGAGCAGGGCTCAGGGGATCCAGGTTCTGTTCCCAGCCCTGCCACAGAGTCCCTGGGTGACCACGGGGAAGTCACGTAGGAGAGGAATTGAGGCACAGGGAGACTGTGACATACGGATAGAACTAGCTGAACTCCAGGGGTTGGGGACACTCAGACCCTGTGTCCAGTGTGAAGGGGCCTAACGGGGTTGAAACATCTCCCCGGGAATCCCCTGTGTCCTGCACAGCCCAGAATCCAGGGATAACAAAGGGGTTCAAACCACACACCCCAGCCCTGCTGGAGGAACAGAGCAGGGGAGAATCAGGCCGTACCTGACTGCCGGTGCGTGTCACTGGGGTGAGGAAGAGCAGGTCGGCCAGGAAGAGGCAGAGGCAGAGCTGCAGATGGAGGGAGGTGCTGACGTTGCGGATGGAGCGGCAGAGGAGGAAGGTGAGGATGGCGAGGAAGAGGCACGGCAGGGAGAGGGTCAGTCCCACGTAGGTGATGATGGTCAGTGCCTAACTCCCCTGTAACACAGCAAAGGGAGAATCACCAGTGACCCCAGCCCAACCCCCTGGGTTCCGACTCAGCCTTTTCCGCAGCAAAGCCCCAAGTCTCTCCAGGGAGAGCTTTGCCCATGGCTCAGTGCGGAGCTCAGGGTCCAGACCCATATCAGATCCAGGGCCCCGCCTACCGGTGGGAAATGGGTTTACTCCGGGAGGAATCTGGAGTGACTCCTGCTCTGCTGGGGAGGATTGAAGGGAAGAGCAGAACCAGGCCAGCCCCGAGGTCCCAGCGAGGGCCGCGCCTACCTCCAGCTCGTAGAAGGCCATGAGCACGGCGAAGCTGGTCAGGTGGTTGCACTGGCAGCGGGTGATGGTGGTGGTCAAGTTCTGCAGGGTGCAGCCGTGGGTGGCCCAGCGCCTGCTGTCAGGCTCCCAGTAGGGGCAGAGGAGGCGCAGGTCGGTCTTGTTCTCCTGGGGACAGAGAGACGCTTGGTGCATGGGGGGGCAGGAGCGAGGTGGAGGGCTGGCTGGGGCCGCGCAGGGGGCAGGACTCCCCAGGCCCCGAGAGGGCAGGTCGCGGGGGTACAAGGGGCTGGGCTGGGGGCACAGAGCATCAGTTTGTCCCTGGGTGGGAGGCAGATTTACCAGCTGACCCGGGTAGGGGGGTGTTACTAGAGATGGGCCCAGCTCTCCCCCCAGCGCCCCAGGCTCTCCTCCCCCCATGCCCAGCCCAGGGGCTCACCGGCACTGGGTGGCTGAAGCGGATGCTGACGGAGAGGCCGAGTGCCTGGGGGTTCGGGTCACTGATGAAGGCCGACACCACTGGAGACAGCACACGGTAGCTGGGCCGCTCCGGCTCCTGCGCCCTCTTCCCCATCTGGCCGATCTCGTCCCACTCGGGCGCCTCCACCAGCCCAGCACCATCCAGGAGGGGGCTCATCCCCTGGTATGTCAGCAGCCCAGCCAGTGTGAAGCCTGCGAGAGACAGAGGAGACGGATGAAATGGGGGCAGGAGGGGCCGTGGGGCAGACTGGTCCCAGGGGTGCTGTGCTGCTGGGGTGCTACCCCCAATGCCCTGACCCTTCCCACCAATCAGGCAGCTTGGTACAGGCCAGCTGCGCTTGTTAGGTTACCTGGAGACTGGCTCTGCTTCAAGCCCTGATTCCTGACAGATGGTCCTTGTGGATGATCCCATATAGCATGTTCTTCTGACCAGTATCAGCCATTGAGGTTTAAATCAGCCCCCCGCCCCAGGCTCCTCCAGCCCCCAACGACGCTGGTGTAGTATCTGCCAATGAGGTTCCCTGAGGGCCCCATTCCCAGGTGGGGCACAGCAGAGAGTGGGCACCAAAGCTGGTTAATTACATTTCAGCCTGAAAATTACCAACAGCTTCAAACCTGGATAAATGCTCTAGTCGGCTTCTGAGCAACTGGGGGATGGAAACAAAGCAATAGGATGAGACATATAGATTGACCACGGGAAAATACTCACTCGGGTCTGACAAGCATCTAAGCCGTTTGTATGCAGCCGTCCATTTAGTGGGGTCCTTAGGCTTCTGGAGGGTTCCAGGGACATGGTAGAACAGTCCCACCCCCGCTCCAATAGCCTCTGTGTTATTGAGGAGGATGAAAGTCTCAGGGAAGGAGAACAGAAACCGGAACAGAGGAAAACAATCCCATAGTTGGGACCATAGAATAATAGATATCAGGGTTGGAAGGGACCTCGGGAGGTCATCTAGTCCAACCCCCTGCTCAAAGCAGGACCAATCCCCAACTAAATCATCCCAGCCAGGGCTTTGTCAAGCCTGACCTTAAAAACCTCTAAGGAAGGAGATTCCACCACCTCCCTAGGTAACCCATTCCAGTGCTTCACCACCCTCCTAATATCCAACCTAAACCTCCCACATTGCAACTTGGTGGATTGAGGATAATCCATGGGACACAGTAATACCAGGGTACAAAATATATCGGAAGGACAGAACACTCATGCTGGTGGGGGAGTGGCACTAGTAAGCATTGAGTCAAACGAAGTAAAAATCTTAAATAGAACCAAACTGTATGATGGAATCTCTATGGATAGTAATTCCATGCTCGAATAATAATAATAATATAGCAGTAGGGATATACTACTGACCACCTGACCAGGATGGTGATAGTGACAGTGAAATGCTCAGGGAGGTTAGAGAGGCTATAGCAATAAAAAACTCAATAATAATGGGGGATTTCAACTAGCCCATTATTGACTGGGTACATGTCACCTACGGCGGGAGCCAGAGATAAAGTTTCTTGACACCTTAAATGACTGTTTCTTGGAGCACCTAGTCCTGGAACCCACAAGAGGAGAAGCAATTCTTGATTTAGTCCTAAGTGGAGCACAGGATCTTGTCCAAGAGATGAATATAGATGAACTGCTGGTAATAGTGACCGTAATATAATTACATTTACCATCCCTGGGTGGTGGGAATGCTACAGCAGCCCACCACGGGAACATTTAATTTCAGAAAGGGGAACTGCACAAAAATGGGGAAGTTAGTTAAGGAGAAATGAAAAGATACAGTGCCGAAAGTGAAATCTCTACAAGCTGCATGGAAACTTCTTTAAGACACTTTAATAGAGACTCAATTTAAACACATACCCCAAATTAAAAAACATAGTAAGAGAACAAGCTTCAGGGCCTGGAGGCTAGAGTAGGGCTCCTTGGTCTCCAGGCTCTATGCCCCCTTGGGCCAGTGAGCCACGTTCTTGGCTGTGCTGGCCGCAATCTCTGGCTCCCACTGCACTGGGATCACCTTGACCAGGAGTGGGGTGGGTCAGAGAGGGGATGTGACTGTTCTCTACTCGGTGCAGGAGAACCGTGTCCATGTTTGGGTGCTGCGCTTCAGGAAGGATGAGGACAAATTTTAGAAAGTCCAGAGGAGAGCAACAGAAATGATCAGAGGTTTAGAAATCATGACCTGTGAGAAAAGGTTGAAAGAATTGGGCATGTTTTGTCCAGAGAAGAGTCGGCTGAGGGGGGACAATCTGCAAATATGTAAAAGGTTGTTATAAAGAGGAGTGTGATCAGTTGGTGTCCATGTCCACCAAGGGTAGGAGAAGAAGGAATTGGCTTAGTTAGCAGCAAAGGAGATTTAAGTTAGATATTAGGAAAAACTTTCTAACTCTAAGGATGGTTCAGCACAGGAACAGGGAGGTTGAGGAAACCCTGTTATTGGGGGGTTTAAGAACAGGCTGGACAAAAACCTGCCAGGGATGTTCTAGGTGCACTTGGTCCTGCCTCAGAACATGGGGATTGATTGTTTGACCTCCTGCGGTCCCTTCAACTCCCCATTTCTGTGATTGTGTGATGCGGTGCTAGTCCCTCTGCACTGTGATCAGTTTCCCCCATAGGTACTCAGCAAAGTAAATGCTGATGGGGCTGGGAGAAGTGGTAGGGCAGAAGGAAGGAGAGCAGGGCATGCTGAGACGATGGTGCTTTCCTGTGTGCAGTGCTGTCGGTTGAGACGATAACATGCAACAGGACATGAGTCGACTTGGCTCCTTGTCTAATTTCTCGAAGATAAGGAGGGTACAAAGCTCAGAATCCTCAGAATTGACCTTCCCTGACAGCGTCCAAGCCACCGTGGGAAGCCGAGGTCAGGGCCGGCTCCAGGCCCCAGTGTAGCAAGCAGGTGCCTGGGGCGGCCAGTGA